GCTGCTCACAGTGTCCTGTTATGTGGGCATAATGTTACATTCTCAGGTCACAACTCCTTGTCACAGATGTTAACTGCATGCCCACTGTGTGCCAGTTGCTGCCCTGGAAACCCTGGGCAAGATGGGGTCTCACCCTCACAGAGCTCACAGTCTGGGGGAGGGAATGGAAGAGCTCCCAGGCACACACAAGGCGGGCAGTTAAGCAAAGCAAGACGATAGGGGTGCTGTGGGTCCACCAAGGAGGAGACTGGAGGCTCAGGGAGGCAACATCTACATGGAGTACAACTGGAGAGGTGGGCGGGAGACATCCAGCTAAAGAAACAGGAGAGGAGTGTTCCCGGCAGCAGGAACAGCACGTGCAAAGGTCCTGAGGATGAAGAGAAGACAAGAAATACTTTCCAGAATAAGCAAGGACAGAAAATCTTGGGGAGGAGGTGCTGACTCTTATGAGGTAACCAACGTATGTGCTGTGCATGCAGTGAGATCTCATTTTGTAAACCCACAGGCATAGTCCTGTAAACCCAGGGCAAACGAGTGGAAGAAAAGATCCCGAAATGTTCCCAGGGACGATCTCCGGGTGGCGAAACTGCAGATGACTCTGTCTTCTGCACACTTCTCTGTAGTTGGCAAAATTTCTACAATAAACATTGTAGCAGTTATCTACTTAGGGCTCAGATCTGGCATGCTGTTACCTCTACGGCGCGCAATTGACTGAAGAACGTCACAGGGATGAACTCAGAGTTAAGAGGAGGGGAAACACATTCTGTCCCTTTGGTGCAGGGAAAATACAGCGTCACGTGACAAAGTCATGGACACAGGGAGTGGGGAGGATTGGAGCCAATGATTTGATGAATCTACTGAGCCTTGAAGGAATGCTATTGGGAGGAGGAGGAGGAGGAGATGGATGGATGGGCGAAAGACGATGTTGAATCAGATGTTTCCACCAGCCAGGAGTGAGAACGGCAGCCCAGACCCAACCCCTGAGAGTTCAAGAAGGGCGGGAGGTGAGGCAGAGGGAAAACCAAAACCATCACTGATGCCTCAGTTTACCCACTTCTGAAAAGGGGATGGAAGAGTCTTAAAGTTTAACCTTCACAGAGCTCTCAGAGTAACGCCTGGCACGTAACAGTAGCTTTTAAACATAAGCATGAAACGAACAGGATGTCAGGCCCGGCCCGCCCCGCAGCTCTGCCCTGGCCTGGGTGGAAAGGCGGTGGAACCCCCACCCGGCCGGCAGTTCCCTCACAGCTTTTACCTAGCATCTCCCACACGGTTTTTCTTCTTCCGCCAAATAAATATATCACTTCCCTCCGGCAAAAGAGAAATAAAAGCAGTTCCTTAATGCATAAGAAGAAAGTATGGAAGAAATTCCAGTTTGATGGTCTACAGGTATGTTTGTTTGGACTGGCGCATATAAATCAGTGCCTGGCTTACATCAGATTATCACAGCGGAGTGGGCTCTGGGCTGATTGCGTCTTTACAATCTGTTTACGAGGAGGGCTGAAGTGAAGCGTTCTGGAAGGGGCTGCAGCATAAGCCTTTGAAAGTTTTTCATAATTGCTCAGTCCAGACCGTCGTGCACTGGGAAATGCACCCTCGTGGGAGCGACATGGCTGAGGGAACCAGAGTGGCCCCCTGCTTCCCAGCAGCCCCTGCGCTGCCTAGGGATGGTCCCGGGAACACGCTGGGATCTCTTCTGCTATTTTGCCCTGAGCATATGTGATTGTGTCTGTGAATTTACAAAACAAGATCTCACCCCGTGCATATCTTATGTACCCTGGTTACCGCTTCAGTTTCAGCTGCCCCCCACCCCGAAAGCATTTCTGTCCCTGCTCATTCCAGAAGGCACTTCTTGTCTACTCTGTGTCCCCAGGACCTTTGCACGTGCTGCCCCTTCTGCCTGGAGCATGGCTCACCTCTTCTTTAGCTGTGCTGCCTCCTCCCATCTTGCAGGCTGGACGTTGACTTCCATGACTCCCCAGTCTGGCAGGTGGGCTGGAGGTATAGCCCCCAGGACCTCGGGATGTGACCTTATTTGGAGGCGGGGCTGTTGCAGGTGTAATTAGTTAGGCTAAGATTAGGTCCTGCTGGGGTCAGTGGGCCCCTAGTCCAATATAACTGGTGTCCTTATAAAAAGAGCACATTTGGACACAGGGACACACAAGGAGATGCCATGTAAGGATGAAGACAGAGACCAAAGATGGCCAGCAAACCCCCAGGGGCTGGAGGACAGGCCTGGAATGGACAGTTCCTCATGGCCGCTGAAGGAACTAGCTCTGCCAATGTCCTGGTCTCGGACTTCTGGCCTCTGACTGTAGGAGAAGGAAGTTCTGCTGTTGGACTTGACCCCAGCTTGTGGTAACTTGTTAAGGCGGCTAGCAGACTAGCACGGGGCCCTCCTTGTCACCCCCTTCCATGCCAGTTTGAGAGGCCGCCCTCAGTGGATGGTCATCAGCCTCTGCTCTTGAGTGGGGATCAGAGAGGGTGGCTGAGAGTGAGAACGAAACAGCTGTGCCGTGGGCTTGGCATGTGGGAGGGGGCTAGCACTCCCCAAGCCGTGCCCGGAGAGGTCTGCAAGGACAGTCCCATGGCATGGGGGGCACTGACGCCGTGGGTCCTTGTGCACACCTGCAGTGCCTTCTGAAGACTGTCTATCATGTACAGCAGGGGCTCTGAAACGCAAACCTCTAGAGGGGCCGGGCATTGGGTCAGAGCATCATCTCTTGCAGGAATAGGTGTTAAACTGGGGGAGGGGGTCACAGGAATGCGCACACCCTGTGTTTCCAAAGCCTTCTCTTACGTAGAACAGAGTCAGACATCTAGAGGCCAAGGGCGACTGGGGAACAGGAGGGAACAGGCTGCAGCTCCCAGGAGAGCCTGGAGTTGAAGGAAGTGCAATTGTTTGGAGGAACAAATTACTCAAGGAAAGACTGCTTTCCTACAGGGAGGTCTTCAGAGGGGCAGCTGGCGTGGGTGCCCTGATTCCCAGGTGGCGTGATGCTAAATCTCCTTGGCCTACAAAGCACCTTCCCCTTGTCTGTGCATGGTCTTGCCTCCTGGACAGAGAAGCCTCAGGGTCTTAGACCTCATATGGTGCCAGCGACAGCACGGACCTGGCACCCGGCAGGCATCCACACCCAGTGGGTGTCCTCGGATGGCGTGTGGATCCTGACATGTTTACTCCTGAGAGTTACCGGCCCACCTCTGCCAGGTGTCCCCAGTGAGCTGTGTGCCAGTTTGTTTATAACTCCTTTTAAAAGTAAATCTATTTCTTGCAGCCACTGTGGAAAACAGCATGGAGAATCCTTAAAAAACTAAAAAAAGACTTTTATCGTTTGATCCAGCAATCCCACTCCTGGGCATATACCCAGAGAAAACTCTAATTTGAAAAGACACCTGCACCCCAATGTTCACAGCAGCACTATTTACAATAGCCAAGACATGGAAACAGCCTAAATGTCCATCGACAGATGACTGGATAAAGAAGATGTGGTTTACATGTACAATGGAATAGTACTCGGCCATAAAAAAGAATGAAATCTTGCCATTTGCAGCAGCATGGATGGACTTGGAGGGCATTCTGCTAAGTGAAAGAGGCCAGACAGAGAAAGATAGACCGTATGACATCACTTACATGTGGAATCTAAAAACTACAACAAAGTAGTGAATATAACAAAAAAGAAGCGGAGTCACAGGCGTAGAGAGCACACTAGAGCTGTCAGAGGCGGGAGAGGGCGTGGGAGGCGCAAGCTGCCGGGTGTGAGAGCGGCTCAAGGCCCTACGGACAACACGGGGAACAGAGCCAATATTTTGTAATAACTATAAATGGAATGCAATCTTTAAAAATTGTATAAAATTTTTAAAATAAGTAAAAATAAAATTAAAAAATAAAATAAACCTATTTCAGTACAAGTTGAATGCATTTAAACAAAAATATTGATAGAGGTACTACAGGCCGAGAACTGTGAAGGGGGCCTGCAGGGTGCGGGGGTCTGGGAAGTTCTGGTGTCCGGGGATGAGCAGGGATGGGATTAGGGGTTTGATGGACGGGGCTCTGGAACACATTTCCTGGACAAAGACACTTAAGTATGGAGAGGCAAAGCAACTGGCTCTCCTGTGAGGTGTGGAGGAAAGGGCTGGCCGCAGGTCTGCCTGAGGGCTCACCTCTCCACCGCCCCAGCCCACAGCTGCCTGCCCGCCCAGCCCCTGACGACGTGACCCTGCAGAGAACCTCTAGCTGAAATCAGAGAGGGCCCTGTTTCCATGGAGGGAGAGCTCTGGAAAAAGCTACTCTTCTTGTTTTGGTTTGGTTTGGTCGTTTTTGATACCATTGATTTTCTGGCCACAAGCAGGGTGTCATAGCGTGCACAAGGGATGCTCTGGGTTTTCCTGCAGACACAGCTGTAGAAACAGCTCTTTTGCAGATGGGTGTAATTAGGCAACAGAGTTTGGCCCAGTAAGTTGCAAGAAGAGTCCCAGTAGACTCAGATGGAATCTGTCTATTTGACCTTCCGTTTCCCCTTTCTTTCTGCTGGGAACATAGATGCAATGGTGGAGATGGGGCAATCATCTTGATGCCATGAGACAGCAATAAAAGAATCTCCAAAAAAAGGGAAAAGATCTCAACTCTGACAGTCTTGGATTGAACAATGTTGCTGCCACCTTGGGAATTCTCAACACTTGAGAAAAGTAATATACCACGTGTGTTTAAGACACCATTTGGGGGATTTCTGTGAGTAGCGCCAGATGCGATTCCTGAATGATACACTCCACTGGGGGTTGTTCCTGACGGCCAGTTCTCGGGGACAGACCCCGTTTGGGGCTTTTGCTGCAACCAGAGAAACCCATGTTCAGAAATGTTCTTCTTCCTCTAATCAGATAAAGAATGCGCCAGCCTTCTGGAGACCCGCAGGCTGCTGGGCTGACTCCATGTCCCTCTCTGTCATCTGCAAGCCCCAAACCCTGCCTGGAGAGGCCTGAAATGACAGCCTTTAGCTTACCACTTTGGTGAGGAAACATTCCCTGTCGACCACATCTCATCTCCTCAGGAGGACAAAACTGGCATCCGCCATGGCCCGGGTACTCAGCACAAAGACGGTGAATTATAGGAGAGTCTGTCTCTTGCTCCACCCCCTGCATCAAAAATTAGTCCTTAATCAGATTACCACACCAAGTATGCAGCAAGAGGGGGCTGGTCAAGCGAAGGAAGGCATATCCGTGCAACAGAACCTTACGCCTTTAAACCAACGCTATGGAATATGCGATGCGTGCCAGAAGGTTCGCAATATTCCTAGTGGGGAGAAGGGCTGCCAGCAGCCGGGTGGACACAGACTTTTAAGGATCTGCACGGGACGCAGGGCAGGGAAGCGGGGGTTATGCCCAGAGCACAGCAGGGCTTGCCTGCAGCGGAGGGGTTGTAAGTGACACCTCCTCCTTACTGTCTGCCTGCACATTTTCTTGCCTCCATAAAAGAAAAATTAAGGGCAGCTAGGAAGCCCCTCTGCCTCTCACTCGGCAGATCTGATTTCAGCTGTAAAGGGGTCAGCTGAGTCCTGGCAAATTTCATTTTCCACTATTATCCAAATGGAATCGGCTAAATCTACTTTTAACAGCAATGTTCTCAGGGTGGCGCAGGTCCCACCTCCTTTTTTTTGGAAAATCCCCTTTTTCGGAGGCTTTCATTCTGACACACTCAGTAAAAACGCGATTCAAGACAGTTGCTTTCTCCTTGGTCCAACTGGCTCCTCTTAGCCGCCCCGAAAGAGCAGCGATCACTCTCAGCCCAAACCATCAGGGAAGTGTTTACACAGCCACAGATGCTCGCCTTCCACAGAGGGGACCCAGAAATGCCTCGGGGATACCACCATCTCTTTTTGGGGAAGAAAAGTAACAGCCAAGGAGGAACAGGAAGAGCACTAGGAGAAAGAGATGACTGTCACAACCCAGAGGGTCTTTCCGGCAAGTTCCAGAACCATCCACAAGCATGACAGGGCACCTCGATAAATCAGAGTCTCCTTTAACGAGACTGGCAGCCCTGTGCCTATTTTTAAAAGTTTATGACCCTGGATTTGCGAATAAAACCAGCAAGGCATTGCCCGGAGCTGTGCAGAGCGAGGCATTTTTAAGTTTCCATCTCACTCTGGAGCAGCAATCCATCATGATAAGACGGGGCGGGAGGGACGGAGCCAGGCTCCCTGCGGCCTCCCCTCCCGCGGGTGAAGCTATTTAAGTGGCAGGCACCGCAAGACAATCCATTAACCAAAAAAGGGCGCTGCGGCCAGAGCTATTTCTAGGTCCCGGCCAGCACTCGGGGAGCACCGCCTCGTGGAGCCCGCGCAGGACGACTCGGCTGGCGTCAGCCTGCAGACTGTTCCCCGCCAGCTCCAAGCGTCTCCTTCTGTATCTGTGTCCTGGGGCTGCCAGGACCCGGGGCCACAAGCTATGGGGCTTAAAACAACCGAAGCCCGTTTTCTCACAGTTCTGGAGGCCAGGGGTCTGGAATCAGGGTGTGGGCGGGGCCAGGGCCCCTCGGATGCCTCTGAGGGAGGGGCCTTCCTGCCTCTCCCAGCTGCTGTGACTCCAGGTGGCCCTGGCTCCCGATAGCATCTCTCTAACCCCTGCCTCTGCCCCCCTACAGCCTCCCCTCTTGTCTCTCCTTTATGTGCCTCTTATAAGGACTGTTTCCATGAATTCAGGGCCCACTAGGATAATCTAGGATCATTTCATCCTGATATCCTTAACTTAATTACATCTGCCAAGACCCTTGTTCCATAGAAGGCCATGGACACACCTTTTCAGAGGTTGCCAGTCAACCCCCTACCCGTGAGCAGGTGTCCACACCTTCCCAGGAAGACCCCTAACTCATGATTCTGGGGAACAGCTCTGTGCTCTCAAGTTCAGCCATCTGCCCACACCCAGGTGACAGCATCTGGGGACCAGTGGCACCTCCCATACCACCCCCAGAGGTCCTGCGCCCACTAATATGCATCAGTCAACAGACCACTTACAAGCAGGGGCCCTGATGTCGGCCTCAGGCTCAGTCCTGCAACCTCAGCCCCAGGAGCGCTGTCTTCCACGTCTTCCATGTCCTCAGCTGGGTTCTAGATTCTTAACCCGTTGGCATCAAGTCTGTCTCAGAGGGTCCACCCCATGTGCCTTGGTGGATTAGTTCGTGCCCCGGAGCAAAATTTTCCAGACGATTCCCAACATGCACCTTTCCCGACAGCACTAAGCAACGCGATCAGTGCGGACACCGCCTGCCTGGAGGCGGCGTCGGGCCCCACAGGTTACGGGCTCAGTCCTGGCAGGCTTCTCATCCAAACTCCAGGTGCCAGTTACAAGTTCAGGCTGTCACCCGCGCTTCTGACCGGCTGGCTATAGACAGATTGGAGGTGCCTACCGCCCCCTCGCCCCGCTCTGGGTGGCTTAATTGGCTGGAGTGGCTTACAGACTCAGAGAAACATTTGCCTGCTTATTACAGAAGGATGTAAGTCAGAACAGCCAGATGGACGGGTCGCACAAGTCAAGGTGTGAGGTTGGGCGAGCAGCTCCCGTGCTCCCTGAGTGCCCACTCCTCTCACCTTTCTACGCGCTCACTGACCTGGAACCCCTCTGGGGTTTTGTGAAGGCTCCATGACACAGGCATGATTGATTAGACCATCGGCCACTGGCAACTGAACTTAACTTCTGGCCCAAGGCTCCCCTCCCTGGAGGTCAGGGGTGCGATGGAGGGTTCCAACCCTCTAATCACACGGCTGGGTCCCCTGGTGGCCAGCCCCTCCTTAGGTGACCTAGGGACTTTCCCAAAGACACCTCATTAACTTAGCAAGACACCTCGGTGGCTCTCCTCTCTTGGGAAATTCCAAGGTTTTGAGGATCCTGGCTACCTGAATAGAAGGGAAGACCAAATAACGTATTTCTTCTTATAAATCACAATAGCACATTACTGAAATCCACAGAGCCCTCTATCCCAATGCATTTCTAGAAAACCCAACAGGTGAAGCGGATGGAGCCCAGTGGGGGGGGGGGGCAGAGGCCAGCCCGGGCCCTGGCCCGGAAGCTTCTCCTTCACGGAGCTACTGTGTGGAAGTGCCTTTGGTCCTTGGCCAGGAGAGGTGAGTTAAACCAGAAGGGGCCTTTGCAGTTCTTCACTCCACCGTCAAGCAGCAATTGTTTCTTAGTGTCTTTGACCGTCTGCCTTCCAGCATTCCAGCTCTGTACCTGAGCTCGCAACCATCAAGCAAAACAAAGCGAAAAAGGAACTAGACGGGGCTGGGAGGGGTTCACATATTTTTATAAAAAAAAAAAGCAATACATGTTCATTGTCAGTGCAAAATGTAAAACCTGGAAAACAGATAAGCACCTAAATTGAAACACAAATCATACCGCAATGATCTTCCAGTGACCTTGACCCCAAACCTTCCTAATAACCTGAGCATGTGAAGTCAGAGACTATCGTGCTAACATTCGAATTCAAGTGCTTTTCCACCCCGAACCAATAAATGAAACACTGAACTTTTAAATCGTGACATACGCAGGGTCTTGTAACCTGTGTTGGCTTGTATCTATTTGCCCTATGTATTTCGTAAGTATTTCTTATACCTTTATGTTTAAAGCATCTCTTTGTGGGCATGCCCCATCTTTTACTGACTCGATTCCAGGCTAGCAGTCATTTACGAAACTGCCATTTCCCCCTGGAATATATAAAAAATGTTGTGATATCCGTGCATTGCAGCATCTCTGACTATTTCCTTTGAATCGATGTCTACAAATACAAGGACTGCCTTGGAAAGTGTGCACTCACACAGCATTCAGTTCCCTTCGTCAGTTTGCCTCCGTAAAGCTGTATCAGCTTGCAGTCTCACCAGCAATATCTGGTAAGGGTACTTTTCTAAAAAAATCTCATGTGGAATAGTACAGTTTTTAAAGCCCTGAGCCAGTTTGGTGGGCAGAACAGAGGGACACCTGTGCTTCAGTTTCTTTGCTTGGATGGCGGTGCAGGTGGGTAATTCTCGGGTGGTTGGCCATTTGCATTTCTTCCTGTGTGAGCTGCTTGACAACGTCCATTGTCTTTTACTGTTTCAAAAATCCAGCTCTTGGTTTGAATGCTTTTTTTTCTAATTTTTTAAATGTCTGTTTTATTGATTTCCTCCCTGATCTTTATCATTTCTCTCCTTCTGCTGGCTTCAGGTTTTGTTTGTTCTCCTTTTTCGAATTCTTCTAGGTGGTAGGCTCGGTCGCTTACTCAGATTGCTCTTGTTGTTTGAGGAAGGCTCGTATCGCTGTGCGCTCCCCTCCTAGGACTGCTGTCGCTGCAGCCCCGTGGCTTTTGTGTGGCTCGTTGCCTTTGCCAGTTGGGATAATTGCCTTGATCTTACTGATTTGCAAGTGTCACTTGCATATTAAGAATTTTAATTCCTAGTAAAAGAACTAATTTCTTCTTAGTCTTCTGAAGGCCATTTAGAAAGCCTTTCACAGATGTTGCTAATTTTTCCCCCAATTTGTTGTTTGCTTCCTAATTTTGTAATGGATCAATAAAAGGATTCTACACACTCAAAAGTGCTCATCTTCTTCTCTGTGGTTTCTTTCTCTACCTATACACTTAGAAAAGAAGGGAACGCAATTTTCCCCACTGAAGAGGAAAAAAGTGAGAAAATACTAAGACTGGGCAAAACCACTTCAGGAACCAGAGAACCAGAGGAGGCGACATCATACCCTCTGTTCCAGAAAACGAAGTTTGCCTTGGCTTTTGGACTCTGCTGGGCTCAGTGTGTTTTACTTAGTACTGACTCTCTTTGCCGGATAATGAGTCTGTGTTTGAAAAAACGCCTTCTCGGATTTGCTTGACACAGCAGCTGAGGTTGTTATTCTGACACAGTAAGAGGTTTCTTTCCCCCGCCCACCAGGGCCCCCCTAATCAGAGCATCTTTCTAAACGTAGCCACACAGAGGAGCGCGCAGGCCCCGAGGCAGACGACGGGAGAACCCTGAGCTTCTTGACCACGTAAGCCACTTCCCCACAGCTGTGGGCCAGCCTCGAAGAGCGCCAACGCCCCGACTTGTCTGCGGGACACGCTTTGCCGAGGGGATGCCGGGGTCACCTTTTGTAGATTCCTGTGACAACCTGGCCCCCTG